TTAAACAACATTCGATTTATGACTGAAACAGAATGAAAGAAAACATGTTTAAATCTGGGTTACATTTTTATATTTTATTTGTGATGCTGTTCTTCGGTAAGAAGTTTGATTAAACCATGCATGGATGAAGACGGAAATACATTTTGCTGCACACTTCCTGCATCAAATGAAATGACATTGAATTGCATTGAAGCACCACTCTCTTCTTGGGCTTTGTGCCCCATATTATGATGAAAAATAATTGAATGTGCAGTTGGAAGACCAATAGCATTATACACAATGCAACTAAATAATTATATGGACAACTAGTAGATTTCCTGTGATGTTTAGTCCTGGATGATTTGAAGCAAGGAATGCAAGAGTTCCTTACATCTCCCTTTTATAGACTGATTTGCTTTTGAGGACTTTGTTCACCTGGCATTGTGGGTTTGGTGATCACGAGCCCTCAGAGGACTCAACACCAAGTTGGAAGTCAGTGAATTCAGTGATGCACCTGATGGACTCAACATCATTGAATTAATTAAGTGGCTGAAATTTAGGAAATGTCCCAGGATGTTTCATTAAAGTGTAATCAAGCAGAAAGTGACACTAGGCTGAAGTAAGGGATAATGAGTTGGTAGCTAAAAGCTTAGCCAAAGAGGTGATCTCTAAAGGGAGAAACAAACAATAGAATGAAGATCAGGTGTGACCTTTTAAAAAAGCAGCCAGATTACCATCCGCTTACCTGGAGGAAGTGAATATTTTACGTTTGGGTGTTGCTGGCGACTTGGGAAGATATGGGTACACCTTAGCCTTCCACATTTGACATAATGTAGATTATAATCAGAATCTGAAGTTATTTGCAGTTCGACAGCCTATCTACTAAAATGATCCAGTTCTCAGATTGTGATGCAAGATTTCCTGGCTTGAATGGTTCAGTTCTGCACCAGGAGACATTTTTTGTCTTGGTGACACAAAGTTTCTAACTTTGTATCTGGGGAAATACAAAAACCTTGTCAGTTAAAACATTATTTTTGGCGCTTCACAGAAACATGCAGTGGTTTAATTTCATTTTGAAACATGAACATTCAAACATTTTAAAGATGTGAATTAGGAGTAGAAACAGGCCAATTGGTTCCTTGAACCTGCCCTGCCATTTAACAAGATCTTGGCTTATTTGTTTGAGTTTCAAATTCCACATCCCCATCAACCCTAACAAACATTTGATTCCCTTGCCAAATGAGAATCTATCTACTGCCACCATAAAAATATTCAATCACTCACTTTGTAAGGCTCCTCATGTGAGGAACAGTTGAAAATTCTGTACTTGATGGAGTTTAGAAGAAAAGAGGAGGGATCAGATTGAAATATACAGAATACTCAGAGGCGTGGTCACAGTGGACATGGAGAAGATGTTTCCATAGTAGGAGAGATTAGGACCTGAGGGCACAATCTCAGGCTGAAGGGCCAACCCTTTAGACCTGAGATGAGGAGATATTTCTTGAGCCAGAAAATGGCTAAGCTGTAGTACTCATTGTCACAGAGGACTGTGGAAACCAAGTCTTTGAGTGTATTGAAGACAGAGATATATGTGTTCTTGATTGATAAGGAGATCAAGGGTTACAAGAAGAAGGCAAGAAAATGGCGTGGAGAAACATATCAGCCAGGATCAAATGGCAGAGCAGACTTGATGGGTCAAATGGCCCTTTTCTGTTCCAATATCTTATGATGTTATGATCTGCATCATCTTTATGTCCTCTTCACAACTTACTTCCTTCTACAAGATACACTGTGGACATTCACCAAGTCTCCTTAGGCAGAACCTTCCAAACTCATTACCACCACCACCTGGAAGAAGGGCTGCAGATACTTGGGAACACCACTACCTGCAGTTTCCCCTCTGAGCTATCCACCATCCTGATTTGGAAATATATTACTCTTCCTCAGTGTGGCTGGATCCAAATTCTGGAACTCCCTTCCTAGCAGCACTGTGGTGTACCGCGACCAAATGGAGTGCAGCTGCTCAAAAAGGCAGCTCAACACCACTTTTTCAACATCAGCTGTTGATCGGTGATAAATGTTACCCAGC